GGGGGGGGGAAATCAAGATTCCCATTTATTTATAGGAATTTGTTTATACTGCCTGAGTTAATATTTGAGTATGTTCTAAATCTCAACATAGACTAGGCAATGTAGATTTTAACAACACTATAGTTTTAGAACATGATAAACTAGGATTCATAGAGGTTTTAACTACTATGGCCTAAAGCTCTACCATTCTCAAAGAACAGATTGCCTAGTCTTTGGGTGGCCAACCTGTGGCATGCAGGTCACAAATGTCAGAAGCAGCCTCTGTGCATGGGACATGGCAGCCAGAGGAGGGGACAGGAAGCTACAGCAGCAATCAGATTGGGCAGTGAACAGGGGACAGGAATCAGAAAGCAAAGCAGCAGATAGGGCATGGAGTACAGGGCAGGGAACAGAAAGCAGAGCAACCAACTGCATAAAGGTTGCAGATTCCAGTAGCACTTGGGGAAGGCATGGAGCTAATCTGTGCCATGTTTGACAAAAAAATGCCCACAATCTATGTAAAGATTGAGAACACAAATGGAACCTCCAAATCTGACTCTAGACCAGGGACTAGCAACCTCTAGCAGGCATGCCACAGCTGGCACACAAGACCATTTTCCTTAGCATGCCACAGCCAACCTGGGCTCTGGGCAGCTGCCACCAGCCACAGAGCCCGGGCTGCTTGTAGCGAGTGGCCAGGAAGCTGCAAGCCCTGCTGGAGTCAGCCCATGCTTAGTGGCAGGCAGCAGCTGCCCACAGCCTAAGCTAACTGCAGCCAGGATGCTGTAAACTAGAGTGCTGGGGTTATGGAGCCCCATGCAGCTAACATGGGTAGGACAGCTGTGCAAGCACCTCTAGGTGAATGGCTGGGAAGGGGCTTGGGGCAACACAGGCCTGGCCCTCCCTTGCCATTTGCCCAGAGGCATGTGTTCAACCACCACTGCTAAGGCTGCGGAGCCTAGCGCAACTGCCTGCAGCTGCCCCACCACCTGCTGCAGCTGTCCGGAGTCCAGGCTGGCAACGGCAGGCAGCTGGGAGGCAACAAACAGCTGCTCTGTGATCTGCAGCCCCACCATTGGCTCAGTGGTGGCAGCAGCAGCTCTGCACACACCTCTGGGCAGACAGCAGGGGAGGGGCTGGGATTGTGCAGTCTAGACCCCTTCCCAGCTGCATGCCCAGAGGTGTACATGCAGCCATCGCCACCAGACACAGTGGCGCAGAGCCCAATACCGCAATTTTCAGCCTTCCGACTGCCTGACAGCTAGCCCAGGCTCTGGGCAGCTACAGCAGGTGGCAAGCAGGCCGCAATCAGAGCCCCAGCACCAGCTCTGTGCCATTGGTGGGGGCACGCATCCCTCACAATGCATGGCAGGGAAGGAGCCGGGGCAGCGCAACCCCAGCACCTCCCACACTGTCCACCCAGAGGCACATGTGCAGCTGCCACCAGCAATGAGGATCAGACCACTCATGGGTCCCACGCCTCTGGCATGCCAAGTCAAGGTGTGGGTGGAGGTTCGGGCGTTTTCTGGAACCTCTGGCCAAAAACGTTGCTGACCCCTGCTTAGACAATGTCCAAGAGCTCATGACAGTCAAGACAGTGCTTTCTAATTTACAGTACAGAGAAGTTACTGCATACATTGGCTGTCCCCACACACTTTCTACCGCAAATGTACCCTTAATGTACATTAAGAATATCCCTACAAGCATTTATTGCAGAGTACCTAAGTTACTGCAAATTCATCCCTTAGCTTACTAAGTAGCAGCTTCCCCAAATATAGAAACATTAGCACAAGCACAAGGATATACTTTCTACATTATAGCCTTGTTAGTGCTGGATCCAGTTATACGAGCAAACTGGATTCTAGGCTGATACACAAACCTTCAACAAAATTGCTACCTACATTCCATTTAAGAGTCTTTAGTAATTCTAATGAGAGGCAAAGTTACTCTGATTTCAATCTCAGTCTACAGCCCATTAAGAAAACAATTTGTAAACTGAGCAAATTTAGTCTACAAGTCATTGCCACAGCAGGCAGTCCCAAAGCGTCTGTCACATTTCAGAATACAACTATATTTTAAAATCTGTATGAAGAAACCAAACCTTGCATATATCCTATTATGCTAAATTAGGATCCTGAAATGGATCAGAAAATGTAGCTGTTGATACCTCAAGCTAAGTTTTAAAGAATGCTTTTAAAAGAAACCTCTGCCAATACCCCATAACTACTGGGGGGATATTTTCACAAACTATCTTTTCATAATCCTCTCCACAGCAACCAAACAGTAGATGGTCTTTTTGGGCAGGAAGCAAACAAACACAATAAATAAATACACCTGACTCAGTTTAATGTTCAGTCTTGCACAAATACAGAATGTTTAAACCAAAAGTTCTACGTTTGTCCGCATCAAACTACTTCAGAAAAAAAAGCGTGAAATATACTGTCTGTATCACCGATCTTCATAAGGTCCTAAGTATTCAAATCATGACAGACCAAATGGCAGGTACTTTTAGAACACTGCGTACATGTACTCACCCTTCACAACATGCTTTCTGGTTACCACAAATAAACATCCCAGGAGCTCCCAGCTGGATATGGACACTTAGGACAAAGAAAAAGAGCAGCCTTTAATGAACTGTTACAAGTGACAGGCAAGTTCCAGGAAAGTCCCAAACCCCGGGAACAGAAGAGAACCCCCGATTCGGAAATGAGAACTCGCCGCACCGGTTTAGGTCTCAAAACTTACGGCCAATCCCCACAGCACCCCTCATACAAATCCTTTTCTGCGAAAGAAGACAATTGTAACTTGGGGTCATGGAAAAAGGATTCCTGCTCCCCCGTTTCCCTTGGGAGAGGGGAGAAAAACGAAAAGCTAAACTCCAGCTTCCTAGTGGCAGGGGGTTGTGGGGCTGGGGCACCAACCGGCTGCATAGCAGAAGAGCCCCCAGAACAAAAGCCTCCAGCCCTTCCCCTGACAAGCTGACACTGCCAGTCCACCTGCCCGCCCACCCCACTAAGTCTTTCCAGTCAGAACCAGGCACCCGTGAATCAGCCCTCCACCTCAGCCACCTTCCCTGGGCATGAATCATTTGCCCCAAGTTGGGGGATGCTCCCCAACCCCTTTGCTGACACCTATGGCAGAGACTCAGAAAAGGAAAAGAGAGCAAGCAGAGGGCTGGGAACAGCCCATGCTCGGCTCAGCCTCGACAGCTTTCCCGCCATGGCCAAGGAGCCGGGGCGCACAGCAGGGCCCCCCC